GGCGATGAAATGGGGGGAAATGGATTTTAGGGGAGAAAATGGGGGGAAAATGGATTTTGGGGGGAAAAATGGGGGTTTGGGGGGGAAAATGGGGGGTAGAGAGATGAAATAGGGAAAAAATGGGGGTTTGGGGCAATAAAATGGGGTTTTGGGGGAAAAAATGGGGATTTGGGGCAATAAAAATGGGAATTTCAGGGGAAAAATAGAGAATTTCAGGGGAAAATTGGGAATTTCAGGGGAAAAAATGGGGTTTTGTGGGAAAGAAATGGGGGTCTGCGGGGAATAAAATGGGGTTTGGGGGGAAATGGGAATAAAAATAGGGTTTGGGGGGATGAAAGGAGAAAAAATGGGATTTTGGGGAAATCAATTTGGGTTTCAGAGGAAATAATTGGGATGGAGGGGGGAAAATGGGATTTTAGGGGAATAAAATGGGGTTTGGGGGGGAAATAATGGGGGTTGGGGAAATAAAATGGGATTTTGGGAAGGAAATTTGGGATTTTGTCACATTTCAGTGGTGGTTTGGGGATCTTGGGTTTCTTCTTCTTGGGGTTCAGGAGGAAAAACGGCCCCAAATCTTTCCAGGAAAGCTCCTAGAAACCCTAAAATGGATTTTTTAGTCAGAAAGTAGGAATTTTTTTGACCAAAAATAGTAATTTTTATGGATCAAAAAATGGGGTTTTTTTACAAAAAAATGAAGGCCCTAAAGAAGTGGGGTTTTAAACCAAAAATAGTCATTTTATGGAGCATAAAAAGGGGGATTTTTGACCAAATTTGTCATTTTTATGGACCAAAAGAAGGGGGGTTTTGACTAAAAATAGTAATTGTCATGGACTAAAAAAGGGGATTTTTAAACCAAAAATAATCATCTTTATGGACCAAAAAAAGAGTTTTTTGGGCCAAACCAAGGTGTTCTTTTAACTAAAAATAGTCATTTTTATGGCCCAAAAAAGGGCTTTTTTAAACCAAAAATAGTCATTTCTATGACCTAAAAAAAAAGGAATTTTTAACCAAAACCAGATTTTTTGAGCCCCAAAAAGATTTTTTTGGCCAACCCCATAAACCCCCTGGCCAGGTGCCCATCCCAGGTGCCAAATTCCCGTGGAATTCCCCCGGAATTCCCAATTTTGGGTGGTTTTTGCCCAGGTGCCCATCCCAGGTGCCGAATTCCCAATTTTGGGTGTTTTTTGCCCAGTTGTGCATCCCAGGTGCCAAATTCCTCTGAAATTCCACCAGAATTCCCAATTTTGGGTGGTTTTTGCCCAGGTGCCCATCCCAGGTGCCGAATTCCCAATTTTGGGTGTTTTTTGCCCAGTTGTGCATCCCAGGTGCCAAATTCCTCTGAAATTCCACCAGAATTCCCAATTTTGGGTGGTTTTTGCCCAGGTGCCCATCCCAGGTGCCGAATTCCCATGGAATTCCCCCGGAATTCCCAATGTTTGGGTGTTTTTTGCAGTCCAAGCTGGAGGGCCGGGAGTACCGCGATGCTCAGGAGTTCGCGGCCGACGTGCGGCTGATGTTCTCCAACTGCTACAAGTACAACCCCGCCGACCACGAGGTGGTGGCCATGGCCCGCAAGCTGCAGGTGAGAATCCCCAAAACTTCCAGGAGAATTCCCAAAATTCCAAGAAAAAAAAATATCTAATTTTAAAAATGCTGACTCAGCAAAAAAAATTTTAAAATTGGCATTTTTTTGTTGTTGAAGGAGTTGGAATTTGAATTTTGAATTCCCGACGTTCCAGGAAAATTCCCTTTTTTTCCCCAGTGGGATTTGTCCAAAAAAAAAAAAAAAAATTATGGAAGAAGCAAAAAAAATGCTGACTCGGCAAAAAAAAAATTGGTGTTTGGGGGTTTTTTTGGTTGAGTTTTTTTGGTTTGTTTTGTTTTATTTTTGTTTTTTCTTGTTGAAATGAAGGAAATCAGAATTCCCAAACCTTCCAGGAAAATTTCCTTTTTTTTTTTTTTCCAGGAGGGTTTAAAAAAAAAAAAAAAAATTTGAATTATTGAAAAATGGTGACGCTGCAAAAAAATTGCCAAAAAAGAAATTGGGGTTTTTTTGCTGTTGAAGTGAAGGAAATCAGAATTCCCAAACCTTCCAGGAAAATTCCCTTTTTCTTTTTTTTCCAGTAGGGTTTACAAAAAAAAAAAAAAAAAAATCTGAATTATTGAAAAATGGTGACGCTGCAAAAAAATTGCCAAAAAAGAAATTGGGGTTTTTTTGCTGTTGAAGTGAAGGAAATCAGAATTCCCAAACCTTCCAGGAAAATTCCTTTTTTTTTTTTTCCAGTGGGATTTACCCAAAAAAAATCTCTCAGAATAATTAAAAAATGCTGATTTGGCAAAAAAAAACCCAAAAAATAATTTGGGAACTCCTTCAAAATTGAGGGAAACTCCTTCAAAAAGGAGTGAAACCCTTCCAAAATGAGTGAAAATCCTTCAAAATGATTGGAAACCCCTGGACTGGATGGAGAGGAGAGCGGGCTCTGAATCCATGGTGGAATTGAGGATGGAAAAGACCTCAGAAATTGTGGAGTCAAACAAAGATGATCCAAGAAGATCTCAAGAACTTGGAAAACGCAGGTTTTAAATGAGAAATTGAGGAAATCCTGTAAAATTTTCCCCCAAAACCACCTTGGGGATGGTTGAGATCTCCAGTGGGAATCTGTGGTGGAACTGAGGTTGGAAATGACCTCAAAAATTATGGAGTCACCCAAAGATGATCCAAGAAGATCCAGAACAACTCAAGAATGTGAAAGAAGCAGCTTTTAAGTGAGAAATTGAGGCAATTCTATGAATTTTTCCCCCAAACCACCTTGGAGATGGTTGAGATGTCCAGTGGGAATCCATGGTGGAACCTCTAAGATCATCAAATCAACCAAAGTTGACCCAAGAAGATGCAGAAGATCTCAAGAACCTGAAAGTTGCAGCTTTTAAACAAGAAAGTAAATGAGCAAATCCCATAAATTTTCCCCTAAATCCACCTTGGAGAGAGTCAGAATTCCAAGAAACTCCCAAGATTTCAGGGTTCCTTCCCCCACCCCATGTCCAGGTGTTGACTTTGGTGTGGAACCCCCCAGTCCGTAGGGCCCCCCTTTGGAGACACCGCGGTGCCGACCCCGGCGTCACTCCCGTCCCGTTCCCTGTGATTCCAGGACGTGTTTGAGATGCGCTTTGTAGACCCAAAATCATTGGGTTTGTTGACCTAAATTGTTTTGTTTGTCAACCCAGAATCATTGGGTTTGTAGACCCAAAGTTGTTGGGTTGACTTGAAATCATCGGGTTTGTAGACCCAAAATCATTGAGTTTGTAGACCCAAAGTTGTTGGGTTGACTTGAAATCGTTGGGGTTTGTTTACCTAAAAATTTTAAATTGACCCAAAATTGTTGGCTTCGTCGACCCAGAGTTGTTGGGTTTTAACTGGAAATGGTTGGGTTTGTTGACCCAGGATCGTTGGCTTTGTTGCTCCAAAACAGTTGGGTTCGTTGACCTAAAGTTGGGTTGGGTTGACCCAAAACTGTTGGGTTTGTTGACCTGAAAGTGTTGAGTTAACCCAGAATTGTTTGGCCCAAATTCTTTGGGTTCGTTGATCTCAAATCAATGAGTTTGTTGGCCTGGAAGTGTTGGGTTGACCCAGAATCATTGGGTTGTTGGGCCAGAACTCAACAGTGACCAGGTGGGTCGTTCATGGATTTGGCTTGATGACCTTGGAGGTGTCCATGGAACCATTGGAGGTGACACTCAGTGACCGGGTGGGGTCAGTCGTGGGGTGGGTTTGATGACCCCAGAGGTGTCCATGGAATGGTTGGATGTGACACTCGGTGACCAGGTGGGCTCATGGGTTAGGTTTGATGACCCCAGAGGTGTCCATGGAATGGACTGGACACTGGACTGGCTGAGAAGGTTGGGGTCAGTCCAAGTTGGGATCTGATGACCCTGGAGGTGTCCATGGAATGGTTGGAGGTGACACTCGGTGACCACATGGGGTCATGGGCTGGGTTTGATGACCTTGGAGGTGTCCGTGGAAGGACTGGACACTGGGCTGGCTGAGAAAGTTGGGGTCAATCAGAGGTCACATTTGATGACCCTGGAGGTGTCCATGGAACCCCTGGACCCTGATCTGGTGACCGGGTGGGGTTGGTCAGTCCCAGGTTGCAGTCCATGACCTCGGAGGTGTCCATGGAACCCCTGGACATTGCTCTGGTGACCAGGTGGGGTTGGTCAGTCCCAGGTTGCAGTCCATGACCCTGGAGGTGACCATGGAGCCCCTGGACATTGCTCTGGTGACCGGGTGGGGTTGGCCAGTCCCAGTTTGCAGTCCATGACCTCGGAGGTGACCAGGCCGTGGCCGGACGCTGCTCTGCCTGAGGAGCTGGGGCTCGGCCCGAGGTGGGACCGGACCTTCTGGAGAACCTCTCCCAGCTCCGTGCCCCGTTCCCACAGCTCAAGGCCGTGCACGAGCAGCTGGCGGCGCTGTCCCAGCCCCAGCAGAACAAACCAAAGAAGAAGGAGAAGGACAAGAAGGAGAAGAAGAAGGAGAAGCACAAAAAGAAGGAGGAGCTGGAGGACGCCAAGAAGAGCAAGGCCAAGGAGCCGCCGCCCAAGAAGGCCAAGAAGAGCAACAGCAACAGCAGCGCCTCCAGGTGGGCCCTTCCCACAATTCCCTGGGGCAGTTTGGGCATTCCCCGGTGCTAATTAAGGTAATTACCGCCGGGTTCTTCATGAGGGACCTCAGGCCCCAGGCGATGGGTGGGGTTGAGCTCAGCCTTGAGCTCAGCTCAGGGTTTGGGGCTGGTTCTTCTCCGTGGTTGCTGGGGACACCTGGGTTTGGGTGTGCAGGAGCGAATTAAGCTCAGCTTTGGGTGCCTGGAGCAAATTAAGCTCAGCTTTGGGTGCCAGGAGCAAATTAAGCTCAGCTTTGGGTGCCAGGAGCAAATTAAGCTCAGCTTTGGGGTTCTGAACAGCTTGAGCTCAGCTTTGGGTGTCCAGGAGCAAATTAAGCTCAGCTTTGGATGTCCAAAACCAGCTTGAGCTCAGTTTTAGGTGTCCAGGAGCAGGTGAAGTTCAGTCTAGACCATCTTGAGCTCACCTTAGGATCACCACACATTTTAAGCTCAGCTTTCCAGCCCAAAGGCACAACCAACAAAGCCACTCATTTTAGGATAAAATCTAAACCTCCTCCAGCTTCTGTGGGTTAGGGCCAGGTTTAGGGCGGGTTTAGGTCCAGAATCCCATTTTTGGTTTTCTGAACAGCAAGAAGGAGCCAGCGGTGAAGCTCTGCAGCTCCTGTGGCTTAGGCTGGGTTTAAGTCTAAAACCCCATTTTTTGGTCGTGCACGCACCAAGAGGGAGCCAGTGGTGGTGAAATCCTCCAAGTTCTATGGGTTAGGGCTGGTTTAGGTTGGGTTTAGGCTGGGATTAGGCCTAAACCACCGTTTTTTATTCCTGTGAGCAGCACGGAGCCGGTGGCAGTGAAGGTCTCCAGGTCCTGTGGGTTAGGGCCGGTTTTTATTGGGTTTAGGCTGGGATTAGGCCTAAATCACCATTTTTTGTTCCCGTGAGCAGCAAGAAGGAGCCGGTGGCAGCGAAGATCTCCAGATCCTGTGGGTTAGGGCTGGTTTAAAGCACAAAAAGAAGGAGGAGCTGGAGGACGCCAAGAAGAGCAAGGCCAAGGAGCCGCCGCCCAAGAAGGCCAAGAAGAGCAACAGCAACAGCAGCGCCTCCAGGTGGGCCCTTCCCACAATTCCCTGGGGCAGTTTGGGCATTCCCCGGTGCTAATTAAGGTAATTACCGCCGGGTTCTTCATGAGGGACCTCAGGCCCCAGGCGATGGGTGGGGTTGGGCTCAGCCTTGAGCTCAGCTCGGGGTTTGGGGCTGGTTCTTCTCCGTGGCTGCTGGGTTTGGGTGTGCAGAAGCAAATTAAGCTCAGCTTCGGGTGCCAGGAGCAAATTAAGCTCAGCTTTGGGGTTCTGAACAGCTTGAGCTCAGCTTTGGGTGTCCAGGAGCAAATTAAGCTCAGCTTTGGATGTCCAAAACCAGCTTGAGCTCAGTTTTAGGTGTCCAGGAGCAGGTGAAGTTCAGTCTAGACCATCTTGAGCTCACCTTAGGATCACCACACATTTTAAGCTCAGCTTTCCAGCCCAAAGGCACAACCAACAAAGCCACTCATTTTAGGATAAAATCTAAACCTCCTCCAGCTTCTGTGGGTTAGGGCCAGGTTTAGGGCGGGTTTAGGTCCAGAATCCCATTTTTGGTTTTCTGAACAGCAAGAAGGAGCCAGCGGTGAAGCTCTGCAGCTCCTGTGGCTTAGGCTGGGTTTAAGTCTAAAACCCCATTTTTTGGTCGTGCACGCACCAAGAGGGAGCCAGTGGTGGTGAAATCCTCCAAGTTCTATGGGTTAGGGCTGGTTTAGGTTGGGTTTAGGCTGGGATTAGGCCTAAACCACCGTTTTTTATTCCTGTGAGCAGCACGGAGCCGGTGGCAGTGAAGGTCTCCAGGTCCTGTGGGTTAGGGCCGGTTTTTATTGGGTTTAGGCTGGGATTAGGCCTAAATCACCATTTTTTGTTCCCGTGAGCAGCAAGAAGGAGCCGGTGGCAGCGAAGTCCTCCAGATCCTGTGGGTTAGGGCTGGTTTAGGCTGGGTTTAGAGCAGGTTTAGGCTGGGTTTAGGCCTAAACCACCACTTTTTTTTCCCATGAGCAGCAAGAAGGAGCCGGTGACAGTGAAGGTCTCCAGATCCTGTGGGTTAGGGCTGGTTTAGGTTGGGTTTAGGCTGGGATTAGGCCTAAATCACCATTTTTTGTTCCTGTGAGCAGCAAGAAGGAGCCGGTGGCAGCGAAGATCTCCAGATCCTGTGGGTTAGGGCTGGTTTAGGTTGGGTTTAGACCAGGCTTAGGCTGGGTTTAGGCCTAAACCAGCACTTTTTATTCCCGTGAGCAGCAAGAAGGAGCCGGCGCCGGTGAAGCCCAGCAAAGCCGCGCCCGCCTACGAGTCGGAGGAGGAGGAGAAGTGCAAGCCCATGTCGTACGAGGAGAAGCGGCAGCTGAGCCTGGACATCAACAAACTGCCCGGGGAGAAGCTGGGCCGCGTCGTGCACATCATCCAGTCCCGCGAGCCCTCGCTCAAGAACTCCAACCCCGACGAGATCGAGATCGACTTCGAGACGCTGAAGCCGTCGACGCTGCGCGAGCTCGAGCGTTACGTCACCTCCTGCCTGCGCAAGAAGAGGAAACCCCCAGGTACGGCCAAAGCCCAAAATTTGGGGGTTTCAGCCCGAATTTCCGGTGGTTTTAATCCCGAGGGTTGAGGTTTGGGGAGGTTTTGGAGGTGTTTTCGCCTCACCAAGATGGCGGCGGGTGGGATTTAAAATGGGTCCCGGTTTTGTTGTAATAATTAAAGATTTTATTTTCAAGTTTCAATATTTGAAACTACTGAATGCACGTCTGCAATAGTTGGGATGCACCAGTTGAGTTTGGGCTGAACCAGTTGGGATGAACCA